TGTTCCCCCCCCCCCCCCCCCCCCCAACATCCTCGTCCGACCCCGGCGCCATCTTTTTTTTTTTGAACATGGGAAAGAGTACGGGATATGCCTTAAATTGAGTTGCCCTTTTGTCTTTTTTTTTTTTGCTTTTCTTTTGGACCTTTAATGTACCCATATCGTGTCAAGTTTCAAAAAGAAAGTGCCATCTGCGCTGGAAGTACGGAGTATGCTGAAATGACTCGGACTTGGCATCACCCCCCAGAGGTTAATCGCCAGGATCTATCTAACTCCATCACAACAACCAACAAGCATACAAGGTTGTTTTTTCTTCTTCTTCTTCCATAGTCGGTGGAGTTTTTAATTTATTGCAGAGTTTTGCAGTAGGTACAGGGTACAAGCAGTCATATCATTACTACGAGTAGGAATGACGGCAATGTTGAGGAGGAGCCTACGTTGTCGAGGAACGGGTCGCAGGGGTTCCTTGCACCTGTTGCGGAGAGGGCCATCACGGTAATTAGCATAGCATACATCCATTGTTGGGTATCACGTCGCGTCTTTTTTTTTTCTCTTCTTTTCCCCTCTCTTCTTTCTTTTCTTTTTTCTTCTCCTCTAGCAGGGATATCTCCTAGCAGAGATGATATCCATGTGGTCTCCGTAATCAAATCTGGTTGCCAACACAGAGGTTTTCGGTGAGTTTTTTTAGTGTCGAGGTGCCAAGTCGACCCGACATCAGCTCCACCGTCAGAGGAACTATCATGGCTCCGTACTAGTAGAGAGGAGAAGGACGAGATGTCCATGCCACTAATGCTCATGGGTCACGGCTACTCCGTAGAGTTGCTGTAGGCCCGGAGGATGGCGTTGCAGTACGGAGTGATACTTACAGCAGCGGGGGGGAGAAGGGGGGAGGAGAGGAGAAGAGAAGAGTGAACGGCTTTTAGAACTTGCGAAGAAAGAAATCTAAAAAAGGATAGAATGATGATGTATATTGTACCTGTACATGTAGAGAGTCGAAAAGACGATGTAAAATTTTTGAAAATAGCAATACCAATAACAATAATGGAAGAATAGAATGAAAGTTGAAGAGGAAGAAATTATGAGATGATTGTAAGATAAAAAGAACAGAGCAGAATGGAATGTTACAGACAGAAAAGCTGGTGCCGAACTAGGAACCTCTAGACCTCTGGATCGGCTTGTCTGCCACGGCCCACGGCCCACGGATCTTCCAAGGGGGACGAGGCCTGACAGGGTGAGACTGGAACCTTGGTACTCCGTAGAGAGCGGCAAGGCGGATACCCTCCGTCTCGTACTCGTGGAGCCAGCAGAGTGAGTACGTGTGCCCGAATACGTACCACGTAATACCGATACTGCTCCGTCATTCGCAGACTTGCTAGAGTACGTACATATAATACGCACAATGTCGATTCTTACATACTATCCGCGGTACATTACATGTGCGGAGTACGCAGTAGTAGAGTAGGTAATGATACAACCACCACCACTGCTGCTGCTGCTGCTGCTGCTGCTACTACTACTACTACTATTACTATTATTACTATTATTACTATTACTATGATTACTGTTACTATTATTACTATTACTACTACTACTATCACTACTACCACTACTACCACTACTACTACCGCCACCACCACTATTATGGCTATTCCTACTACTACCACTTACTACTATGACCACTAGTATAACCAAGTATCAAATGCGGATAGGTCTAGGTCCAGCCAACCAAGGTCGTTATATGGGACGGCATTTAATGTCAAGCGAGGTGCAGTAGCCCCGACCTGATGTCAAAGGATACGGATCCGGTATTATTACAGATACCTGTTCTCTCGTACTTTTTTTTCGCGATATCAAAGAAGGCATGCTGGTCACGCAAGGTCAAAAACTTTCCCTTGAGAGAGGCGAGATCCGAGGTACATGTGGACAGAAGTACGTATCATACTTTTTTTTGGAAAACTCGTGCATTTTTGCCTCACAGCTATACAGAGACAGCATTACTTATCTACGGAGTAGTGATAATAAATCATGATAATACTATATAGAGAGTACGGATACTCGTAAACAGTATCATCAGCTATGCATGTACGAGGATGTACGGGTAATGATAGTACGGATAGTAGAAGTCACGATACTGCAGTGACGGGTCCACAAGGTTTCGGTGGCGGATTCCAGTACACAGTACACGAGTAGGAAGCATGTCCAGGACTTGTCACGTACATTCTCGTCGAATGCCTGTAAAGAGAAGAGGAGGGAAGGGAAAGGGGGGGCAAGGATAGAGAATAAAGAGGGGAAGAAGGGGAGACGTGGAGAGGAAATAAACATGAAGAGATAGAGAGAGAGAGATTGAAGAAAA